AAAAAATGTAAATCAGATTAAGGAACAGATTAAAAACTACTGTATTTATACTGCCAGCAATGACAACCTATGCAAATCAAGTAGTATATCTCCTGTATTTCCCTGTTTTAGTAGTACTTTATATGAGAATGACTGTAATTGTCTATAAGCATAAATAACCTGCTTTAAAAAAAATAAAACATAAAAGTGAAAAAAGTATTAAAGTAAATGAAGTTATACCTACATTTATTTTTCTACAAGGGGCATTTCATTATTTATGGCTGTTTTCAGTAAGTGATTTTATTTTGTAAATTCCCCTAGTCTTTTGAGGAATTTTCAGGTAGAAGAGCCTAAACATTATTGCTGGAGTGGAGGTTGGTAGTAGGCAAATGGGTGAAGGTGGTCAAAAATTCTCAGTTATAAAATTAAAAAACAGAGTAATCCGCTTACATTTCACTTATTCTGCTTTTACTCTCCAAATATACATAAATATGATTCAAAATTAGTGCCAGCACATCATTTCTGATGTAATGTAGAACTACAATCCCATTTTTGCCAGTTTTATTCTTCAACTACTCCTAACTAGGCCCTGGGATTTTGTTGTATCACTATTATCCAGTCTCAGCAGAAAAATCAACTGACAAGTGAGAGATAAGTAAATGGGTATACACATAGGAAGACCCTAAAGTCTCCAGGATAGATAAGTTAGTTTCAACAAAACTGCTTCCTACAGATCTGCTGAAGCTTCTGAGACCTGAACATTTTATATACGAATCTTTAAAATATTTGACATAAATGAAGCCTACAAAATCCCACAACTATTAAGTAAGTTTGTTACAACAATCTACAATCTCTTACCTAGCTTAAAATATAAACCTTTTAAAGGATTTACCTGTTGTATTACTTGATGGTATTCATTAAGTATTGTTTTCAGCTGCCAGCTACACAGTAACCTAAAATTTTAATGGAACAAATTAAGTTTGGAATTAAAAGGAAAGACGTTATCTGTATGCTTACACAAATGTGCATAGGAAAGAATGGCATATATGTAATTCTAACAAGTTACTAAAATATTTACCACTGAAAGTATTGAAAATATTTTCTTCAAACAGTCAGTATTAATTTTATTCTAAAATATAAATAACAGCAATCAGTAAATGGCATACAAGTGGCATATCTTTTTTTAACTTTAACATATCCAAAGCAAAGTTTTAAATTGAACTAGATTTTTCTTTAAGGTAGATTAAATAAAACCAACAGTTTAAATCATAATATATAGAACATGAGTTTTCTTTTACATTTTCTGATCAACTTTTAGTCTTCTTCCAAATTTCTCTTCATTTACCAGTTCTTTACAATTCAGCATGCCCTCAAGTTTCTGTGCCTGGCTTTCTCAATATACCCGATACATGCAGACAATGGCCAGTATACCCGTACTCAGAGTCCCAGATTCCATGCCTACTGTGCCCTCCACATATACTCCACTCAAAAGTTTTACTCTCCCGTTCCATATCAAAATAACACCACCTACTAAACTTCTCCTCTAGATATTTTGCACCCAATATGTCTTAAAACAATTTATCTTCTACTCCATCTAAGACTTCTTCTGTAACTTAATCTGAGTCAGGAATTCACAAAGTATCTTCTTGTCCCTTTCCTTTCTGTGTCCCACTTCTAAGCAGTCATAACGTGCTGTCAAATATACTTGTAAATGTCTTTGTATTCTTCTTCCACTCTACTCTGAGATATTTGGGAACAGAAATGAGATTTGAGGCACTATGCATACTTCCAGTCTAGTTTCTTGACATCCCTTTACTGCTATCTATACCCACAGTCCAAGTTGATTCCAAATGTATACCAGAAATAAACTGATAGTACAGGTCCTTCCCTCTAAAATCAAAGAATTAATATCAAGTCGGAAAAAAGATTCCAATTATTTCGTAGTCTCCCTTTATACTTCAGGTCAGTACTGGCTAGTGATGTTTATACAATTACTGCTTACTACTTTAAATGACACAAAAATAGAGAATTAATGTGTTACCTTTGAGTAGCACCTCAGACAGCAAAAAAAAAAAAAATTTGCAAATGCTCATTGATTTGCAAAAAAACTAAAAAAAGACTTTTAGAAAAAGTCTAATGATTACAATCTGTTTATTCCAGATTAAATGTATGCACACCCCAACAAGATGCATGTAATATAACAAAACACATTACCTTGCATTCTTCAACTGCAAATCTTCAGGCAATAATATTTTAAGGTGGAAATCTTTGCCCTATGGAAAAAAATTGAAAACCTTCAAATTCTCATCTTTTACAAAATGCTAAACACAGAATCACATCAAAATCACATAGAAAGGCACCATTTTCCCTTTTCTGTAAGCATTACCTTTATCTAAATTTTAATGTTAAAATATAAGCAACAGAACATCATATTTGAGGGAAAATAACTAAAATGACATTCAAAAAGTTTGTGACTGTTGGAAAAAGAAAGCTAAGAACTTTGTCTTTAAAGACAAATTCACAAAACACAGGAAATTATTAATGTAGACATTTAGAGAAATTTAAAGTTATTTCTTGGGAAATATATAAAAAAGGAAATTTGTTCAAAATGTTTTCTACATGGAAGAAAAAATCGAAAGGAATATATAAATCATGTTTTCAATTTTCCAAATTTTAATAAAATGGAAATATTTACATAGCCTAAATATATCCAGGAATATTTCCCTAATCAGAATGTTTAATTTTTCCACATAATCAGACTGTTACTCATTTTAACTTAAATATTCACTATTTCTACATTTGAAAACACCACGTTTTACTCAAGAATCTTTCTAAGGAAGGACCATTCTCTTAAAAAAAATTATTCAGTTTTACTTTCTTGACAAAGTGAATGGGTAAACAGCTTAAACTTTTACCTTAAATAGGATAATACACATGAAATCTCAGCAAAGGTAAGCAGAAAAAGACAAACAGAAATATAATCTTTTACTCCAACAGTACAAAATGAAAAAGAGTAATAAAATTCTTGAAAAACAATTACCACGAGAATTTTAGCACAGTATCCCTCAAAGCAGTTTCAAAAATAGAGGAACACAATTAAATGTACCCCATAACCTTTACTTTCATGGTAATATTACAGTTCTGACTTTCATTACATTTAAATGTCCTTTAAAAAAATGAAACAAAATGTACTGCTGACCTTTTCAAAAGGTCAAGTAACAATAATTCACTATTTCATTAAAGCACTAAAAGGTATTATGTAGTAACTTTAACCTAACTTCATAGACATCCCACACATAAGTGTAAGAACAATCTGGATTTAAAAACTTACATGCATAGTAAAACTATCAATCTGTTATCTGAAAGAATAAAATTCCAAAGCCCCTTATTTGCAAATTCAGCCATTTATAAAGGTTAAATGCCATGTCACATGCCATAATACTTTTCTGATTTAAGAAAATGTCCAAAAATTAGTTCCTTTTAGTTAAAGCATATTAAAAAAAAATGTTAATTGCTCTCAAGAAGCAGATTTTCCAGGCTTGCTGGGAACAAAAGTACTGATAGTTGCCTACATCTGAATCTCATAAGGTATCTCCCAAAAAACTATATTGGTCAATATTAAGAACAAATAAACCTACAAAAACCCCATCCCAATAGTGCTCACCATAAGATCCCCACAAGTCCCTTTAGAAAGTTGGTGGAGAAGGGCAAAAGTATGTCAGAAACTAGTCCATGGAAGAGAAGAGGGGCTAAATGCAGATATAGTAAGGTGTCTGGTAGATGTGAACATTACCTATAGTCAAGGGACTCAAATGATTACAAGTCAAGGAAAGCCTGTCTTAGAATGGATTTTTAGGTATGTAAGATAAATAATTCCAAGAGTTGTCCTTTAGAAGTGAGGAATCCAAAGGAAAAACAATGAAAGTGGTAAACTTAGGATCTTATATTACGGAAAAAGATAACATTCAACTCCTACCACAGCATTACTCAAAACAATCATTCATTAAGTAAATTGCATGTTGTTTTATTTAATGAACTGGGAGGTTTATAAACTTTTGCAAGTGTCAAACTTCTCACAAATACAAGAATACTGTCATTATCAGTGTCAAGCTACCACAACACAACAGAATAAAAGAATCAAAACATTTCAAGCAATAACAAGTCTCATGAAAACAAAACAAACAACAACAACAACAAAAAAAAAACCCACAAGATAAAAGCAAATTACAACAAAGAACTGTATATTGTTAGGTAAGTAATTGTACCCAGATTGAGAAACGATGAACAGAGATTGGAAAAATAAACACAAAATACTATGAAAATGGAAGAGGAGTTAAAAGAGGTACTCAAGGAAGATATAGTTTAAAAAAAAAAAAAGTATAAGCAGTAAGGAAAACACAAGAAGGTTAACAAATGAGAAAATGATTTTAAAAGGACATCAGACAAAAGTACTTGAAGTGAAAAAAATAAAAGCCCAATGCACAAATAACTGGAGACCATAACAAAAGAAACAAAATAGTGGAATGTTTACAATTATAATCCAAGTTTACATTCTGAAAATTCACATACTGAAAAAGACACACATGTGAAAAAAGTGGCTCATATGACCTACTCTACATATCTTAGTATACAGACTTCTAAAATAAGGGTAAAATCCATAGTTTTAAGAAAAAAATATCAAATAACACAGGAAATGGTATGATTAACCATGAAATACCAAAAATTTTTAAAAAAACAAACAGAAAACCAGGAAAAACTTTAAAGAAGCTGAAAGGGAAGTTCTGCTTCTAGACATGATAGAGTAACAAAAATAGGATTTACATTCCTATATTAACTTTTAAAAGAAGGACAAAATATGTGCAACTATGATTTTTCAGAACTAATAGGCAGTGCAGGACAATGACCCTTGAAAGAGAAACAAATGAGAAAATCCTTGTAATTCTCCAGCTCTACTGCCTGTAGGGCAACAGGAATGGAGAGTCAAATAGTTTTAACAATCTCCCTGATTTGAGAAGACAGGAGTGAGTTACAGGAGACCATGTCATATATCATTTACAAATCCGAGTGCCAACCAGAAATTTAAGGAGAGGAGCTACACAGAGGGTAAACCTAGAGCAGAGTTTAGAGAGGCCCTCACAAAGTCTACAGTTCAGTCCCTACTGCTCCATGAATCTGAGAAAACTACCCGAGGCTGGGGAAAACATGAGAATGAAGCACACAAAACCATCTTCAAACTCACACAAATAGTTGTTGCCAACAGTCAGTCAGCCATCATATAGAGAACTGTAAAGTGTTGCCTAATAGAGTCAAATGAGTCTTTGCTAAAGTTCTGATTCTGCTTAAAAAGTTTAAAAGTAACCCTAGAAAAGTTCAAACTGTTACAACTGTATTTCAGAACAAATCTCAAAAATACTTACAAGAATATAAAAGGACACCCAAAGGTAAAATGTGCAATGTGTGGTACAAAATCAAAATACACGAGGCAGCAGAAAAGCAAGAAAATAAGATTCATGACAAATAAAAAAATGGCTAATGAAAGAATTGCTTTCAATATTTAAAGAGTTTTAAAAATATTGTGTATGTTCAAGAAGGGAAAGAATGAGTAAATACACAAAGAGATAAAGATCCAAAATGAAAAGATAAACAGTATCTAAAGTGAAAAATATGCTAGATTATTTTATATCAGATAAAGCCTTGCAAAACATGATGTCAGTGTGCCTCAGGACAAAGAAATAAATTCAAATTTTTTTAAATAAAAAAAAATATACACATATATGAGCAGGTCATCAGTTAAATATGGAACAATTTAAAGTGGCCTAAATGCAAATATTTGGAAGCTCCATTATCAGGAAAAGAGGGATATTTTGAAGAAATATTTATAAATTAATAAGAACATATACTCACTATTAAAAAATAACGTCCACTGGGAATACAAACTAGTACAGCCACTATGGAAAATTGTTCTTCAAACTGCTACACCTGGAGCTTCCATATGACCCAGCAATCCCACTCCTACATATCTACCCAAAAGATACAAAAACACTGATTTAAAAAAGATACCTGCACCCCCATATTTACTGCTGCTTTATTTACAATTGGAAAGACATGGAAACAGCCCAAATGCCCAAAAGTGAATGACTGGATTAAAAAGATGTGGTACATACACACAATGGAATGTTACTCAGCAACCAAAAAAAATAAACACATGCCTTTTGCAGCAACATAGATGGAGCTGGAAAAGATTATGCTTAGTGAAATAGGCCAGAAAGAAAAGGAAAAATATTGGATAGTTTCACTCATAATAGCAGTACAACAGACCAGGCAATAAAAATAATAATAATAATAATAATAATAATAATAAAACAGCTATATACCAGAGGCATTTTATGGGGGTGAAGTGGGGATGGGATCAAAAATAGTGGGGGGAGGGAAATGCACTGGACTATGGTGATGGCACATGGATGATTTGGTGATGGGAAGCCCAAGGGGATTACAACTGAGAAGGAAAAATTCACAAAATGATGTAAAAATAAACATATTATTTAAAAAAAATAACCTCTATAATGTGGAGGAAAACATTAAAAGCATCTTCCCAAAAAACACCATATACTTAAAAGAGGAATAAAGATAAGGAATAGCAATTTCCATGGGACATTTCCAGATTAAAAAATAAAAAAAAACACTTTTAAAGTATTAACAGAAAAAAAAATCAATTTAGAATTTTATAACCAGTGAAATTATCTCTCAAAAGCCTAAATAGTTTTGGACTTAAAATAACTGAATTAATCAGGTGTCATGAAGTATGAGAATTTAAAGGAAGAACTTCAATAAAAAAGTAAATGAAATGAAATGGAAATATGGATATACAACAAGGAGTAAAAGAAAGAGTGGATATACAACAAGAGTAAAAGAAATAGTAAACATGCAGGTAAATATAAAAGACCTTTTTCTTATTTTTAGATATCCCTTTAAATGATTACTGTACTAAAACTGGAATAATTTGAGGAATATAATAGTATTGAATATAACCCAATAAACTAAATATCTATAGGTCCATACTGATATAAATAAATGAATTAACCAGTGAGGGAGTTGATCTCTCACACTGCTCATATGGAAAAATTCCACATAATTTATACAGACATTCTATCTTATAAGTATGGCAGGAATACCATAACCTTCCACTTAATGCTCAGCAGGGGCTGCTCATATTGATTTTCTTCCAAAGAAAACAATAAGCAAAGGGGGGAAGGGGGGAAGTGGTACATAGCAT